TGTCTCCAGATGTTTCTGTCTTCTGTCTCCAGATGTTTCTGTATTTTCTGTCTCCAGATGTTTCTGTGTTTTCTGTCTCCAGATGTTTCTGTCTTCTGTCTCCAGATGTTTCTGTATTTTCTGTCTCCATGTGTTTCTGTGTCCTCTGTCTCCAGATGTGGAGGTGAAGCTTCATGTCTCCAGATGTTTCTGTATGTTCCGTCTCCAGATGTTTCTCTGTCTCCAGATGTTTCTGTCTCCAGATGTGGAGGTGAAGCTTTATGTTTCTGTCTTTTCTGTCTCCAGATGTTTCTGTATGTTCTGTCTCCAGATGTTTGTCTGTCTCCAGATGTTTCTGTCTCCAGATGTTTGTGTTTTCTGTCTCCAGATGTCTCTGTCTCCAGATGTTTCTGTCTCCAGATGTTTCTCTGTCTCCAGATGTTTCTGTATTTTCTCTCTCCAGATGTTTCTGTCTCCAGATGTGGAGGTGAAGTTTCATGTGTCTGTCTTTTCTGTCTCCAGATGTGGAAGTGAAGCTTCATGTCTCTGTATTTTCTTTCTCCAGATGTCTCTGTCTCCAGATGTTTGTGTCTCCAGATGTCTCTGTCTCCAGATGTTTGTGTCTCCAGATGTGGAGGTTAAGCTTCATGTCTCTGTATTTTCTGTCTCCAGATGTGGAAGTGAAGCTTCATGTCTCTGTATTTTCTTTCTCCAGATGTCTCTGTCTCCACATGTTTCTGTCTTCAGATGTCTTCTGTCTCCAGATGTGGAGGTGAAGCTTCATGTCTCTGTCTTTTCTGTCTCCAGATGTGGAGAAGACTCTTCCCAGTGTTGGACCTGCAGTTTTCTGTGGAGTGGGTCTGACTGTCGGTCTGCTCGGTGTGGCTGCTGGAACCTTCTTCCTCATCAAAGGGAACGAGTGCAGCTGATTGGTCGGGGCTGATGATGTCACCAGAGGGGCTTTCTGTGAGGATCAGGTTTACTGAGTTATGGTGTCACTTGCCTGAGTCACACCTGGAATCACATCACACCTGAAACATGTGTTGGAATCCCTGGTTGTGGTGTTTCTCAGACAAGTGTCCAGATAACTGTGTGTCGGCTGCATTGTGTTGGTCAGGCTTCAGAGACAGTGCAGCCACATTCAGCTCGACTCAGTGAACGTGCTTCATAGCAGCGGGCCTCTGGTGTTCAACATGTGTTCTCTGCTGGATATTGATCAGTACTGATCAAACTGAATGAGTGGTCACATACTTTGATTAACTAACTGCTGCAGCTTCTCCCTCTGTTTTCTCTGCAGAGCTTTCATTGATTTACACTGTCAAACTGTACAATGATATGTTTTATGATTCAGATTTGGTTCACCTATGAAATAATCTCTTAATGTTCTTGTATCTACATCTGTGGGTGAAAAACAGCTTTTATGTCACACATGCATCAGAAAACTCTGATGTGTAAATGAATGATTGTATGAATTAACATTAATAAAGTAATGAAGTCAGAGCTCTTTGACAGACGTTTGTCCTGTTGTTCATTGTTTCGTTTGTTAGATCATTGAGAACAGCATTAAATGAACCTGACTGACTTAAATTCAGTTAGTATCCTTGTTTTAATCACATTGAATCATGGTAAATTATTTTGACAGTTATCAACAGCATTAAAACAAACTGCTACAAATGAGTGTACATTAATTATCAGTCTAAATCCAAGTAAATCAAGAATCTTCCCCTAATTAAATGTGTCACTGAGTGGAAGCAGTGTTGGTTTTCTTCACATGAACACAGTTTGTTTATTCTATCCAAAACAGCAGCAGCTAGGGCAGCCTGGTGGCTTAGTGGGTAGAGCAGGCATCCAACATACAAGGCCATAGTCCATAGGCATAGCAGCTGCTGGTGCGATTCCAGCCTGCAGCCTCTTGCTGCATGTCATCCCCTCTCTCTCTCTCTCCATTTACACTTAAGGTGGTGTCACTAGTAGCGTCTTTGTGCCGCTATAGCTTAACTTAGTTAATTTTGTTATCTTCACTTGCCTATTATCTATATTAGCCACTTTAGCTTAGTAGTTAGCAATGCCCCCGCTCTATGTTGCTCAGCGTGTCAGATGTTTACGTATTCCACTGCCTCCTCTAGGGATAATTATTTACTGTATCGGAGGCGAGGCTTAGTGAATTAGAAGCGCGGCTCCACACCATGGAAAATCTCTCGGTAGCTGCAGTATTTTGCCAGTCCCCTGTAGCCGGTGTGGAGCCACATAGCGTAGCCTCTGCTAGCGGTCCCCCAGTAACACCCGTGCAGCCGGGAGCCTGGGTAACTGTCCGGGAGAAGCGAAGCTCCAAGCTGAAGCCCATCAATCAATCAATCAATCAATCAATCAATCAATTTTATTTATAAAGCCCAATATCACAAATCACAATTTGCCTCACAGGGCTTTACAGCATACGACATCCCTCTGTCCTTATGACCCTCACAGCTGATCAGGAAAAACTCCCCAAAAAAAACCTTTAACGGGGAAAAAAAACGGTAGAAACCTCAGGAAGAGCAACTGAGGAGGGATCCCTCTTCCAGGACGGACAGACGTGCAATAGATGTCGTACAGAACAGATCAACATGATAAATTAACAGTAATCCGCATGACACAATGAGACAGAGAGAGAGAGAGAGAGAGAGAGAGAGAGAGAGACAGAGAGAGACAGCCCCACCCACATCATGTCCAAATCAGACCCCACCAAGGCAACCATGATCCCCCTCAAGCCAGACCACAGTCACTCCTGTCCCTAGGGGCCCCACCCCAACCACAGCGACAAGAGCCACACCCTGGCCCACTGAGTTATGCCCAGGTGGTCCAACCTTAACCACCCCCCCACACAATGAACTGAAGGACATTCAGCAGATGCTCAGCCTGCTTTGCTCTCATCTGATTGGACAGGTACCACAATAGACACTGTATGAATTATTATTATTAGAGTATTTCTTGTTCTCATACAGTTTAAAAAAAA